TGTGTTTTGAAAAAAATTAATAAAACTTGTTTAAAAAAAAAAAAAGAATTGAAAATATCATTTTTGTAGTTGTAGTCCTTCCTCAAGAGTTGAGCAAAGGCTGAATTGGATCAGCCCCAAACCTTAGGAGAAATTTTCTGACAATGAGAGCCGTCAACCCATGGAACAGAAGTTGCCTTCAGAAGTTGTGGGAGCTTCATCCCTGGAGGCTTTAGAGAAGAGACTAGATTGCCATCTGTCAGAAGTGGTGTAGGGTTTCCTGCTTAGGTGGGGGGGGGGTGGACTAGATGACCTACAAGGTCTCTTCCAACTCTGTTAATCTGTTAATCTTTTTGAATGATGGTCTAATAACGTAGAAGGGAATAAATAATATCCCTGTGATTATTGAACATTAATTAATAATGCTTGCTTTCTCCTTAGATTGTCTATTAAGCCAAAGCTGAACTTCCAGTTCAACTCTGTTGGCTTTAGGTCAACGGTCTTTATGCTTCATCGATTGCATTGTCAATATTGACTTCGGCAATTGCATTACCCAAGTGGTTTATTTTGGTAAATCAGGCATGCTTTCTCACCATTTAATGCAGCACCGAGATCAATTTAATGGATCAAGTCTTTTGAGCTGGAATTTCAATGAGGAGAAAAGAGCAAACAGTCATTGGAGATTGGAAATTAAACATTACGTGCAGGCCAGTTTCAAGGGAATTGGATGGACACACACAAACACACACACACACCGACACGTTAACTTCTCAGAAGAGATAAGAAATACACGGTAAACAGAACCAAGCAAAATAAGCAGGTTGTGAGTTTTGAACTGGAAATTTGCAGCTTTTAAGCTAAAAAAGTATATGGTTGTGACATAAATTAGGGAATCTGCAATGAAGCTTGGATCTATACAGAATTGGACTGTTGTGTAATATCTCCTGGCAATTTTACATCGGTGATTCCTGGTAAACAATTTATTTCTTTTGCAGAATACACCTGATACACACACTAAGTTCAAACAATATTTGAAAACATGCTTTCCCCCACTGAACTTAGAGTAACAAGGCCAGTGGATTGTTCCCTCTGCTTTGCATTCATAATATTGTAGGGTTTGGGATTTTTTTAGTTCTTAACTCCGTCTGAATACAAATAAACCATAAAATACACTGAGGCCATTTGAAGGTTCCTGTTAACAGTGGTTGAAGAACCAGCTAAATAGCAGCATCCAGCAACCCCAAAGGTGCTTTTTCAAGAGGCCACTGGACTTTCTGGTTTTTCTTTGAAGACATTTCACTTCTCATCCAAGAAGCTTCTTCAGCTCTGAATGGATGGAGGGGAATGGAGGGATTTATATTCCTTGCAGAGAGCTGGTCATTTGCAGCCATTCTGCATACATCCTTACATTCCCTACCATCCAGTCAGAGCTGAAGAAGCTTCTTGAATGAGAAGCGAAACGTCTTCAAAAGAAAAAAACAAGAAAGTCCAGTGGCTTCTTGAAAAAAAAGCACCTTTGGGACAACCATACCTGGAGGACCGAGAATCTCCATAGACAATCAACACCCAGTTAAGCTTAAAGAGAAGAAGCTAAGCCAGTCTAAAATGCTTTGCAGCTGAAGGGGACGCCACCATGAAATCCCAGGGCTGCAGGCTACGCTGATATATTGGAAAAGAAAAATAGGAAAATAAATTAGAAATAGATAATGGCTAAATAGATAATAAATAGAGAATAGATAATCGAAGGAGGGGAAAAAATCCTCCGACAATCATCTGAAAGGAGAAAGAAGAGAAAAACACATCCCACTAACCCCTGCACTTTTCTCTTCTTTCTGTCAGGGCTCCGGCAGTTACCCCCATTTAAATCATGAATCTCTAGCCGGATTTTCAAAGCTTAAAGAAGATTTATTAGGAGTAAACATGCCGGTGCTGCCTGGGTGTAGCCGACTCTGAGACACATCATTCATTATCACCCTTGACCCTGGTTTTCCCCCACCCCCTGGGTGTATTGTACTTCATATTCTCCAATGGGACACATTCATAGCCAAGAGTCATCAATCATGTTCTCTACTTAGAATTTTGCGCAGCAGAAACTTCAGTCACCTAGTTACTATCTTTGAAAACATTTATGGAATGCACTTTCAGTTTTGCAAGCTGCTGCACTGCTCCCCCCTCCCTTTCTGTTGGCAACTCTAAAAAGACCAGAGAAATATTATATGAGTTGACACATTATCCTCTCAGCTAATTGGCATTGCAGGCCTCAGCTGGTGTGGGGAAAGCTGCGCACGAGTGTTAGGTGCGCACGCACACACGCACGATCACCGAACCAGTAGCAGAACAGGTAGGACCCCACTGCTGGATGAGATGGTTAGAAAGGGTCATCAACGCAATGAACATGAATTTAGGCAAACTCGTGCTGGTGTGCTGTAGTTGGACGCGACTTAGCAACTGGACAACAAATGGCAAAACCCAACGGATAGGTCCATAAAATTATTAGCGCTCAGGTAGGATGGACAGGAGATTTTTTCCCATCTTTATATGTGTGTAATGGCAGCAGCAGCAGGGAGAGTTCAGAAGGAGAAATCTGGTGGACATGGAAACATCAGGAAGCAAACAAGTTGGGTTGATATTAGCCAAAGTTGGACAGTTGAGTGGAAGGAGGGATTTGTGTCTGTGATAGACTTACCATATGTTGTACATGCGTTGATATGTTCCTGGATGTCCCTGAAAATATGTTCACTAACAATGTTGGGTTGGTAGGATCTATAGGAGCTTTTTTCTCCTCTCCTGGAGCTTACACTCTCTAAACATTTCTGAGGCTTTAGTTGTAGGTGCCTTTTCACAATTATTTATTTATTTTTATTTATTTATTTATTTTGATTTGTCAATCGCTTACAAGATAATAGATATAAGTATATACATAGTTATGAATACATGAAATGGGTACGTATAAGAAAAATAAAAAAAATATAAAAGAAACAATAGGACAGGGATAGTAGGCACGTTGGTGCACTTATGCACGCCCCCTACAGACCTCTTAGGAAAGGGGTGAGGTCAATAGTAGACAGTCTAAGGTTAAAGTTTTTGGGGTTTGGGGAAGAAACCACAGAGTCAGGTAGAGGATTCCAGACATTGACCACTCTGTTGCTGAAGTCGTATTTCCTGCAATCAAGTTTGGTGCGGTTAACCTTGAGTTTGTATCTATTGTTTGCTCTTGTGTTGTTATGGTTGAAGCTGAAGTATTCATTGACAGGTAGGACATTGCAATGTATGATTTTATATACCATACTTAGATCAGAGCGAAGACGTCGTAATTCAAGGTTTTCTAGTTCTAGAATTTCAAGTCTGGTGGCATAAGGTATTCTGCAATGAGTAGAGGAGTGGAGAACTCTTCTTGTGAAATATTTCTGGACTTTCTCAACTGTGCTAATATCAGATACGTAATGTGGGTTCCAGACAGATGAGCTGTATTCGAGTATTGGTCTAGCAAATGTTTTGTATGCTCTAGTTAGTAGTGTGATATTACCAGAGAAAAAGCTACGTAGGATTAGGTTAACAACTCTTAATGCCTTTTTGGCTATGTAGTTACAGTGGGCTCTAGCACTTAGATCATTAGATATGAGTACTCCAAGGTCCTTGACAGAGTTTGGATCATCAACAAGGTCTTGACTATTCAGCCTCTATTTTATTTTCTGATTTTTTTATTTTTTTTTTGCCAATATGTAAGACAGAGCATTTATTTGTTGAGATTTGAAGTTGCCATTTGTTTGACCATTCTGATACATAGTCGAGGTCTTTTTGAAGGGTAGCAGTATTCTCGGTGGTGTTGAACAGCTTTACATCATCAGTGAAGAGAACTACTTCATCCTTCTAAAAACAGGATGTTTTCCGGTTTGTTCTTATGCCCTTCCTTTTCCATTGACCCTCAGCTGAACGTGTGCCATTCAGCTTCCTGCCTGGAAATTTGAACTGCAATAAAACTTTCCACGAAGCCGTTTTAGGAAGTTTCCTTACAGCTTTCTCCCAAAGTGTTGAGCTACCTCTTGGCTGCTGGCATCCCCAGACAGGAGTAAGTGACAATGCGTATGGCATCATGTCTGCATAAAAAGGGCATGAATTGCATGCACGCATTTTATAAAGATGGAAAGAGGTCATTCCTGTCATTTAGGGGATGATGGCCTTGCTAAAAGGAAACGTATTAAATGGGCAAAGCAAAAAAGTTGTGGTTGCAACTGCATTTTGTTTTTCTGGGGGGGGGATAGAAATAGTCATCCTTACACTATTTCTCATCCCCCAAGTCCCCATAGGCCCTCTTATAATTGCAAACAGTGAGCAGACTATCCTTATGTCCAGCCTGATGAATTAAAAACAAATAAATAAATAGAAGAACAAGGGCTTAGTTGAAACAAGATTTTATTTTGTCTCTAAAAAAAAAAAATTATGTCCACCCTTTCTAGGGAAATCAAATGCTGATACTAGTGAGCCGAAAGACATGAATCAGGGATTCCAACCACGAGGGTGTGAATGGCTCTCAAACCACACTTTGGAAGGCTCAAATATGGGCAAAGAAGGAAGCCACAAAGAAGACACAAAGGGAGATGCCTAGAATTGCCCTAAAACGTACAATCGAGAGTTTTGCCACCCAGCTATGATAGGGTGAGAATTAGATAAGTGAGCGTTTGTCGTGCTGCATGAAGTTTTAGCTTAGGAATAGGAGAGATTTCCCTGCTGTTGCATCCTCTAATAGGCCTGCATTTATTCCTGGTCTCCTCACTTTTCATAATTGTAGCAGAAGTTCTGGAGAAGGTTAGTTTCCTTCAATCTGAGGAGAAGGAGGAGGAGGAGGAGGAGGAGGAGGAGAGGAGGAGAAGGAGAAAGAGAAGGAGGAG